TATTTGAATTTATCTTTAAGTTTAAAAGGGGGAGGAGGGATAAGACATTGATTGCACACCAAATTAACACTTTACTTTTAATCAAATTCCAGGTAAAATAGTAAAACAACATGAACTCTCTTGGAGAATTTTCACATTGAAATAAAAATTTTTACAGAATATATAATCTTTTTTCATTGAATTCTTTTTTTTTTTTTTGGGGGGGGGTTAATGAAGTAGCATAAAATGTTATTAAAGATTAAAACAATATACATATTAGGCCTATATGAAAATAATTTTATTGTGGTTACAAAATAAAATTTAAAAAATCAGAAAGAAATTTTGACCTGTTTTCGTGCGTTTTGGTAATTTAGTCTAACCCGACCTAATTTCACATCAAGACGTACAATGAGGAAATGGCCTGTTTTAATATATACCTGCTCCTGCTATAGCATAAGGTGTTTAAAATGGCATGAAAGTTATTAAAAATAATTAAAACAACACTGCTACAAGTGGAAACATGGATGACCATTTACTTGTAATATGTACATGTATATTGAACTTGACATTTCACCGCGATGTCGATCGTGTAGATTCAATGTGAGATTTTGAGAACCGCAATGCATATGGTATACACCCTGTAAAAATGTTTTATATATTTTCTTTCTTATATATTTTATTTTAAAGTCTTATTAATTAGTAATTTTATTTCAAAGTAAGATATTCAAAACTGCAACAGTGAATTAAAAGCTTCCACCCCCTCTCTCTCCTCTCTCTTTCTCTCTCCCGAACGAAACTGACGAAGAATTCTTTCAACGAGAAACAAAAAGACTTAGAAGTTTCCAGTTTTATTTTAACAGTTTCTGCAATAAAGGAAGTTTTTAGATATTTCTTATAAATATGGTGAAATACCGGTATCTGATTTTCATATCGCGATATATTATCGTGGTGGATAATACCGCAATATACCGATATACCGGTAATATTGCACATCCCTAAACTGTGCTGAGGAATATAACAAACAATAGCAAGCCACAGGGTTAATAAGAAATAGCTACTTCTGCTATTCTTTGAACAGATAGAAAATTATGTTGATCATCATAATGAAAATCAAGATATGTTTGTGAAACGCTGTGCGCCTGGTGGCAATAAAGTTTGAAAAAGCTATTTATAGAATATGGGTCACAGTCAAGGTCACAAGGTCATTGATCTTGGTGTCATTTGAAAGAACTTAATTAGTGGAGTATGCATACTAAATATGAAGTCTCTATCTCTTATAGTTCAAAATTTATGGCAGAGGATCAAAATGGCTATTTTTAGCATATGGGTCACAGTAAAGGTCAAATTGTCATTGACCTTGGTGTTACTTGAAAGAGTTTAATTAGTGAAGGGTGCATACCAAATATGAATTCTCCATCTTTTATGACTCAAAAGTTATGTTGAAGTTTCAAAAAATCTATTTTAAGTATATGGTCACAGTCAAGGTCCCAAGGTCATTGACCTTGGTGTTATTTGAAAGAGCTTAATTAATGAAGGGTGCATACATAATACATAAGTTTTCTATCTTTTATGGCTCAAGATTTATGTCCAAGATTCAAAAAATCTATTTTAAGGATATGGGTCACAGCCAAGGTCTCAAGGTCATTGACCTTCAGGTGTCTTTTGAAAAAGCTTAATTAGTAAATTATGCATACTAAATATAAAGTCTCTATCTTTCATTACTTTTGAGTTATGATGAATATTCGAAAAAGCTATTTTTAGCATATAGGTCACAGTCAAGGTCACAAGGTCATTGACCTTGTTGTCATTTGAAAGAACTTAATTAGTGGAGTAGACATACCAAATATGAAATCTTTATCTCTCATTGGTTCAAAAGTAACGGTGAAGGTTTGATGTTAAAAGAAACATTTTTTTCATCGTTTACAAACAAACAGACAGGACAAAAACAATATGTACCCCCGATCTATACGAGACGGGTGCATAAAAAATGTTTATAGAAACAATATTAATATGCCACTGTGAAAATGTCCAGCAACTCTGCATTAGTTTTCAAATAACATGCTTTAATTCATCTTTTCCTGCTACTCTAGGATATATAAGACATACAAGTCTAGTATGCATGCATCACAAGCACTAATTGAAACACATATAATTTTTCCAATTTTATCTCCATTGAATCATTCATCTCAAAAAGAATATTGGTTTTGACTCACCAAGTCTGAAGATATGGAAACAGAGTACACATTCCTATAATTCTGCTTAAATTCTTTTTTCTAGTCATTCCACACTATATCAGTCTTACTACTCATCTTGACTAATCCCACTGTACACAATTAACAACTCCAATTATTAACTTGATACAAGTCAGTAATGAAGCAAAACATGCTTGCCTTTGAATTCCCTCCACTTTATTTAAAAAGAGGAAGTAAATGACTGAGCATGCTCAACAAATGGCTCATGGGTAATCCTAGATGTTGCCAGAAAGTTTTTTTCTGGCAGTATTGCCAGAATGTCACCGGAAGTTGTTGCAGCTAGCAGTGATATTTCATTTTTTCTGGCAGTATTGCCAGAATGTCACCAGAAGTTGTTGCCGCTAGCGGTGATATTTCACTAACCCAAAAAGCTTGTTTCTGGTGACAAAAATGTGTTGCCGCAATATAGCAGCAATAATTTTACTTTGGTAAGGGAATTTATATATAGGCCTAAGTATCAACAAAACAATGGACGCCCCGTACACATTTTTTTCATTACCTTAATGCAAATATGAATAGATTAATTCTTTTCACATTCTTTGAAATATTTAAAGAAAATTTTTGCTTTAAAAGTTAAAATTATTTATTGTTAATTAACAAATTATCAAGTACACATTATACGGCACATCCTGAACAAAATGAGGTGGGGATACCAATAAATTGTGTATGCGTGACTTCTTATTTTGAAAAAATCTATATAAATGTTCTAATAATTATTCTACTGAAAAATCTAGGCCTTCTCTTAAGTCTGTCTATGATGTTGTAGATTTTTTTTTTATTTCAAAGCTAAGTCACACAGCTGGAGATCGTTATATATAACTTGACCAGGTGTCATTTTCTTCGTCTATTTTTACTTAGTTACAATCTCTCTACATACTTGCTCCTGCCAGTGATGGTATCTATATGTGTTTACGCTATTTTTTCTTCTCTGCCTTCTCTATACTGACAAATTATCTTTTCCTTACACATTAAAACTGCTTTTGCCGATTTTTCTCCATTCTTCACATGGCGTTTTTGCTATAAATAGCGACACGCGACTTTTAATACAGACGGGAGATAACTCTTAAACTTTGACCCAAATTCTTACTGAATAAAAATACATGAAAATACCCAAAAAATCAAAATAAAAAACATTGGGGCGGGACATTTTGAGAGGGGCGGGCGAGGATGAGAATCTAAAGATTCATTTTGTATGGCCTTACCGTAGTAAAAGAAACTAATCTTGACACTTTCATCGCTTTTGACTACAAAGTTCCCAACCCAGACAGAAATAAAGTAAACAAGATGTCATCTCGTGTAATTTGGTCACACTATGACCTCTGACCCCCATATAAGTTCATACTGAAAAATATTTTCAAATCAATATGAACATTTTTTGGTTATTATGACCTTTAAAGTGGGCATTATAAAAATTGATGTTGACTGAGTGAGATGTTGGACCTGTCAATGAGATGTTGGACCTGTCAATGAGATGTTGGACCTGTCAATGAGATGTTGGACCTGTCAATGAGATGTCACACAATGGGAGGAGCTTAATCTCATTAGCATTCAATCATCAATGTTTAAAAGTGACAGACCCCAAGGGTTTACATCACAGAAGACAGTACAAGATGCATATATGTCAAAAATATTGAAATAAAAGGTATAACATTAAAAAATTATTTATTGGCTGTGTTCTCAGGCAAAATGGGTTTTTGTCGACCCTGGAACAAAACCGTCTGCTCTTCGCCTAACAGCCTCGGGCAAGCAGTTTAATTGAGTTTTGGGTCCGACAAAATGCATGTTGCCCTCGAACTGAGTCAATAAATATATAAAATTGTGAGCATGAATATCTCAATGTCCATGCACACTCACCACCGGAAGTCCTTAATTTTTATCAATATAGCCATATACATTGAAGTCAATATTTACTTTTACATCTCAGTAGTTTCAGCTAAAACTTAATAAAATTTGACAAATGGTACCTAATATACACGTAAACACATGCAAACAAATATTTCAAATGCACCGCCACCGGCCTAAATCTCTCTGTTTTGCTTTAGGACAAAAATGGCGTCAAAAATGTTCGAGTATTCACCACGAAATTTTTTGCACAGTAACGCCATATACATAGAGTGATAAATCGACGAATATAACAACTTCGATAAACTAACCTCATCCAGAAGAAATCTTCTTCTGTGCAAGATGTCTTGAAGAATGCAGTGAAAGCGCTGAGTAGATGCAATCGCAGAAGCAAAGGCAGTAGTGACCGATATTGACAAAAGGCAATTTCAATCTGACCTTATGACCCATGTCACGTGATCAATGTTACACAGTGCCACTGTAGAGCGTACATCTTGGAAGATCCTATTGTATCCTTACTAATAGTAATTAAAACTTTGACCAAAAACTCAAAACTTGAGGAAAGTTGCGATATGCTACTCTAATATTCCTTTTTTTTTAATCAAAACTGGGAAGGGGTAGGGGGTCTGCATTGGTACCAAGTTTAATTTTTTTTGGGGGGGGGGGGGGGGTTCTTCTTTTTTCATTCATTCCCTATACTCTGTCCCACCAAGTTACTGTAAGCACTTTTCGCATAATATCTCAAAATATATAAATACCTTGGCCTTCAACCCGCTTCCGATCGATAGATCATTTTTTTTCCAACCTTCCTCCGTTTATCCGAACCCTCGAGGTCAACCAGTGTAAACACACGGCGGCAAATTCAAAGTCTACGGGGATTTAACATGGTAAACTCGTCCATTAGCGTCTAGAATACGGGGCCGGGAACCAGTTTTCGAAGGGAGTAGTCGTTCTTTGCAAAGTAAATTTCCAAAAAATCGTTAAAAATTAAAGGAATTAATTTAAATTGCTTTTATTGATAATATAACTTTTACTTTGAATTAAAATAAATTTTAACAGCATTTAACAAATTTAATTATAAACTGCGAGAAAATAGTCCGAATCTAACGAAGTACAACTTGTGGATAATGGATGTTGACATGATGATGCAAGCTCGCTAGTGTTTAAAACGTAAGTTGTTTATTTATTCTGTGGTATTTTTGCAGCTGTTGTTGTTTTACTAGCTTATATACACACATGAAAGAAGTGTCTACAAATGCTAACAATATATATATTTCAAAACGCGTGATATTGCTGACATTAGATAGTGACGATACATCAATTTCAGCCATCTGGTTAGTGCTCATGGTTAACCGTTAGTGCTCTTTAACCAATGTTAACGGTCTGTATGTAAGCTCATGTGTGAAAAATGTAAAGGGGTGTTTCTATGATTATAAAAGAACAAGAATATGGTTTAAAAAATTAGGTGAAATAATACCAAAAAGAAAACAGCTGGTTAACATTTTGACTAAAGTTTTTAAATTTCATTTCTACTTTCATTTTCAATTTATAACATTTCATGCATTTTGCAAATAAATAACATCTTTAAAAAAAATGTTTGATTGCCCTGTTCCAACCAACTGGCTAAAATGACTCAAAACTTTATTTTAAATCTCTAGGAAGCAATTTTTTTTGTATTCTGGAGAATAAATTTATTTATTAAAATTTAATTATAATTAATTTTTCTGAGAATAATTTTCTCATCTACCTAGTACCTACCAACCTAATCCTGACTTGGGAGAGCTAGGGCAAGACCAATGCAATTTATAGTGGCACAACAGCATTGTTTTTTCTGTAAAGTCCTATACTGCTCAAATGTGAACTTAATATGAAAATTTCTGTTTCCTTAATTCCTAGAAGATTTTCCTTTTAAAAGGACACAATGAGTCATAATCATGTTTTTCTTTTAAGATATCTGTAGCATACAGAGAAAGACTTATGAAAATTATGAGTATATAGCTAAGATATGACAATTAAACTGCAAGGAAAAACTGCACGATATAAGTCCCGGAAAAACAAAGGTTGTATCTACCGTTTCATTGTTTTTGTGTTTGTCAAGGTCACGCCACTTTTATTTTTAGCTCAAAATTGTAAACAGCATTCAACTGTAGCATGCAAAGGTGAGAAATGTGACCTATGTTCTAACGTTTTAAAAGATTGCCTGTGAAATTTTGGTCTACTTACATTCATTCCTGGGTACCATGGTAACTATGGAAACTTATTCAACTTTTCTGCGCACACGTACAATGGGGTGGAAGAAGTATTGAGCAATATTTTCCGTCTGGGGCATACAAAAATTATTTTTACTTTTATTTTTCTCCTTAAAAATAGAATTTTTAGGTTCTGAAATCCATAATTCTCTGAAACCCAATACTTTTAGGAATTGAACAAAATTAATAAGGGTAATGCAAAAATTCTACATTTGTCAATTTTCCCCTTTGTGCATCACAATGCCGCTTTAAGTATTTGTTTTAAAAAACCGTAGGCCATAATAAAAATATTTATGTTTGATGTACTCTGACACACTTTTTTCAAGGTGGGTAGGTAGGTATCTTTTTTGGCTTAATAGCTGTATTGATCAAATTGATATTAAAGTGTCATTAAAAAATTACAGACTCAGAAATTTATTAATTTTTTCAATACACTGGATAACTCGACAGATGAAATATTTATCGTTAAAAAATTTTGAATCTTAAAGCATCCAAGAGAAATCTTATACCACAGTTTTAAAATGGATGGCCTCTATTTCTAATAAATGAAACAAAATTTAAAAAAAAAAATCAAAAATTCAAAGTGCTGAAAAAATGTTTGGGTTGGGACAATGTTATGATGGGTCGATCAGTCTGAGTACATCAAATAATTTTCTTTATATTGTTGTCCTTATTTACTAGTACTGTATTTGTATAACTTGGTTGACTTGACCTTTCAGCTTTGACCTACTTTACAAAGAATACCCCAGATAATTTAAATTAACTTAAGACTTTAAGTGACAGGTGTGGATAATTTAAATTTATACGGGTACATGTTTATGAGCTCATTATACATGTACTGTTCTTTGAAACTGTATGGTATTCAGTAAACCACACAAACTGATATCTTAAATACACAGGCCTTTGGATCGCTAAAAGAAATTGTGTGTGTAAAAGAAATATTTCATTTTACACCTCAATTTTTTTCTAAGTGATCTTAAGGCCTGTGCTTAAATATTATGAAAATAAATCAGGATTGGATCCCACAAAGTGGATCATGCAATGTGACAATTGCTTTGAAACGCATATTATCACATGTAAAATAATAAATAATTACTTATGATTTCAACTTAATTATTCAGTTGAGGGTTGCATACTGTTTATTCTAGTAGGATAAAAATAGCTGACCACTCTTAGATTTAATATTAGGTACATCTTTAAAGAAGCTAAGTGACACATGTGTTCCTTGGAACACTTTAGTTTATGATGAAATTGATGTACTGTTATACACTTTTATGACACTTTCTTTTCTTTCAGCAATATTTAGCTTGATTTAGCCACTGCAGTATAAAGAAAGAAGCAGACCAGAAACCTTTGGCTAAAGCAAAGATGATATGCATACCAAAAGCAGTAAGTTTACTAGTATAATATTCAAAATCTTCAAAATATCCTGTCTCTTTTAAATACATGTATTGGGAATGAATTTTTGAAGCTCTGAGCACCTGATGTCTATACATGTTACAATTTTCCCTCTAATCTTTCAAGTGTATATTTTTCCCTCAGCATCTTTAATCTTCTTCTCAAGAACCACTGGGCCAGAAAAGCTGTGAAACCTCCAGAAGCATCCTGGGGTAGTGTAGATTCTACATTTTTCAAATTATGACCCCTGGGGTAGGGTGGGGCCACAATAGGGAACCAAAGTTTTACATTGAACATGTTGAAATATAAAAGAAACATAGGTAATCAGAGATTACAGAGCTCACCTCAACGAATGTTGTCTTTAAGTAAGGCAAAGTCATACAATTAACCAACAAAAAGTGTACATTCCAGAAATGAAAATATTTAAGCAATTTTTTTCGAATACATCGAAATAGACCTACATAAAAAATTTAAACTAGTTGTTCATGAAAATGTAATTAAAATTAAGCATCTGAAGCAAATTTGAGAGTTTTCATCTCCTGATGCAACATTTGTGCAAGTTTGGTTTGGTTTATACAATGTTATATAAGCCTTCAAGTTTTTTGGTAATTGACCTGCACCCATAACTTTTACCTGGTCTATTATCTGAAAAAATGTATGTCGAATTCAGCATCCAAAGTAAGTCCATTAGTGTGCATCCTAAGATGTATCGTCCATGCAAGTTTGCTCATTATAGGGCTCATAGTTAATTGGAAATGATACATTCATCACAAACTAACATTTTCACTCATCCACAAAATGTAGGTCAGATTTTCATCCAAGCAAGCCTGGTAGTATAGCATCCTTAGATGTATCATCCATTCAAGTTTGGTCACCCTAGGGCTTATAGTTACTTGGAAATGAAACCTGCACCAAAAACTTTAACCTGTTGATAAAAAAATGTAATAATTCAGCATCCGAAGCAAGCCCAGTAGTATGCATCCTTAGATGTATCAACCATGCAAGTTTGGTCAACATAGGGCTTATAGTTACTTGGAAATGAAACCTGCACCAAAAACTGCACCAAAAATGTTAACCTGCTCCAAAAACATTAACCTAGCCATTCCTTTGCTGAAATTGCAGCTTCTGAAACTTTGACTGGTACAATGAAACACATTAGAAGCATCTTCCATGCATGTCTAATCAATATAGGACATAGAAGTACTTAAATGAAGAAAACTGCTCCAAAAAACTTAACCTGGGACGCCAACGCCGACACCGACGCCGAGGGTATTACATAAGCTCCCCCAACTTCGTTGAGGTGAGCTAAAAATCTATTATAAAAAAATCTTCTTGGGAATTACTTGGCAAGCAAAGCTGAAACTTAGGCCAAATAAAAAAAATAGGTGAGGTTCTGGTTACACCATCAAAAAAATTAGGTTAGGTAGGTGTTTTTTTTTTTTTTTTTTCACAAAATGATATTTTAAATGTTTCTTCATAATATACCTATCACTGCAATGCAGGTAGCATTAAGATGGGGCATGATATACATGTATACTAGTCAACATAGGTCGGTGCCTATAGTTATGAAAATCAAACCCCCGGTCATTATCCTGTAGCGGTCATTATTCGTCATTTTTTTATTTGGCCTTATGCGAAATCACTGTGGAGTAGTGTAGATTTTAAATTGTCCAAATTATGACCCCAGGGGTAGGATGGGGTCACAAAAGGTATAACAAAGGGGAAATTTGGTAAAGAACTGCATGGTCATAGATATTCAGGTAAGCGATGTGGCTCATGGGCCTCTTGTAACATTTTCGTGCGAAATGCTATTGCAATATAGAAATTGTGATATTTTACAGAAAATTTGAGAAAATATTAACTTCAGTACTTTAATACTGCACAACCTCACCATTTAAAAGAATAAACAAACATTGATAAAAAAAATGTAATAATAACTGAAGCATAGAATATTTAATTTTACATTTATTACTTACTGTAACAATATGATGTTTTTATAGGTTACATAATTTACAAGAGTCTGAAGTTATGATGACCATGCAGAGTCAAGATATTGTAACAAAGACATGCCTGCATGAAGAAGAATGTTCACTCAATTTTTCAGAATAATGTGTCAGATTGAAATTCATCTTATGTTGGACAAAACAATCAGGACATTCTTCTGGATCACAGCTAGTAAGTGTTTATATGAATGAAAAAGATTTTGCTCTTCCTATGTATATACAGATTGGTACCTGAAAATGAGAATTGACCAAGTATATTTTTTTAAATAAATAAACAATTCATGTTACATGTAATATGATGAGCATGTAAAATTTCACTTTGCACAAATTTAAAAGTATATTTTTTATGCACTGAATCTATATGACAAATTAAAATGTTTTATCATTATTTTTTTCAGGCACAAAGTATTGACAAAACCAAAGATTTATCATTACCTGGTAGTCTGCACCATGGAGTGATCATTGGATGATCCAGACAACACCATTTTCCTCAGAAATTGTAGAATTAGACTTAATCTCCAGTCTTCATTCAGATGACTGAAAAATGTTGACATTTTCTCACTTCTGTTTCATGTCTTTTCTACAGCATGGACTCTCCAGCATCAGTGGACGCTTGACATTTATAAACATTTATTCTTCTGAATTTGATCTGATATCCTTAAATATAGGACAAACAATTCATTTATCCTTTAAAATATTTTTAAATTTTACTTAATAAAACAATATATATTCAAACAAACTGGTTTATCCTGTAATCTAAAAGTGTTTTATGTTTGAAGCAATTTTTTAATTTTACAAAACTTATTAAAAATCTGTAAAGATACTTGGATCCTCAGCCAGGAAGGATAACTCTTTAATTTAATTTTATTTTTGATTCACACAAATTAAACAGAAATAATGATTTGAAATTAAAGGGCGAGACAGCTCCTTGACAATGGACCGATACAGACATATCTCAGCCAGGAGGGCGAGACAGCCCTACTCACCAGGTTCTACCTGTCTCACCGAGTCCGAAACGTCTGTATCACGATCAGGGCTGGACTGATACACTACTATAGGAATATGATATAGGCATATATACGTTTGCATACTAGGGAATTGTCAATGAAAAATGAATAAACATACTTAAAAGTTACAAATGCATAAGGAAAAAAATTTTGCTAGGACTGAAAATCAAACTCAAGACATTTGCATTTTTTCATACTTACAATATATCTGCATTCTGCAGGTATACTTATGGCTTAATGTATGAAATGTACACATATATGTATGTTTGTCCTTTTCTATCTTGTGTCTTCACCAGGTAGCTATTTAGTATCCTACAATGAAATTTTTGTTCTGAAAACTCATAAAACGTTTTCTGTTAAATAGTTTTATAAAGAGAAAAAAAATTAATCCTTTACCCTTGCGTTTAAAGGCCAAAAAAAAAAGGTCTCGTTTCCTGCTACCTGACCTATCCTATTTTTTGCAACCGACTCTGAAGTTTTTTCCTTAGTTTTGGGGGAAAATTTTATAATTTCATAAATTTCATGTTTCAAAAGTGAAAAAAATATATATATTCAAGTGGTATTTCATGAAATATATGTTTTAAATATGGACTTTCATACAATACTGATATTGAGTTATGCATCAAAAGACATTGATTTTAATTTCAAAAGATATACTTTTGATGTTTAATTTGGGTTCATATCCAAAAAATACAGTTTAGAAAAAATTAAATTAAAAAATAAAATATTTTTCCTACCTGTACTTGCCCTATTTTTTTTTTCAGGCTGGTAGCAGGGAACAAGACTATTATTTTTTGGCCTTAATATATACATACTTTAATTTTTTGTGTATATGAATGTATTAAAATTTTGGTATTCTGTCATATTTATGGGAAACAAAAATTGTATATCCTGGGTCTGAATTTACCTAACACCGATATTACAGGAAGTTTTGGAAGGGCAAGGTCAAAATTCATTGGTGACGTAGTTTGATGCAGACAACAAATGTTGTTTTGCACTGAGGTTCAAAATAAAATATCAACGAAGGATTTATGTGTTTAAAGCGTTGGAAATATAACAAAGTCATGAAATATACTGTAGCATGTGCATATAAGGACATCACTTGTTTACACAGAAACGATATGATCATGATGCTCATTTTGACCGTGTGTTACAGTTTACAACAAACTATTAGGAGTTGGATTTATATGGAAAGCTAAGGCGAAACATTAAGGTAAGGCAGCAATTATAACTTTTAAAAATCTTGATACTATTGATATTTCTTCGATTGATCTCTACGTGTTGGCAATAAAATATAAAAGCAGCAATTTCATTCGAGCTAAATTTGCAGTAGCCTAGCCTTAATGTTATGTATGAATATATATGAGTCATACCTCTTTGCAGCTGCTTTATGCAGTGTATAACTCTTTTATGAATCTTTGATCCCTTCGGTCTCAGTCTGGGTAGGAAAGTTTTGTTGTTTTGTTGAAGACGTAATATTTCTTATAGTATAAATATATGCTTGGCAGTCTCGGGCGTTATAGGTTTTTCGGACGTCGATAACAATAGAGCAATCCCGAACGTGTGTGACGTCATGTCCTTACAGACGGCAATGTACGGAAAATTACGAACAATGGATGATCCCCTTCCGAAGTGGTGGCCATTTTGACAATGTTAAATCCCCGTAGACTTTGAATTTGCCGCCGTGTGTTTACACTGGTTGACCTCGAGGGTTCGGATAAACGGAGGAAGGTTGGAAAAAAAAATGATCTATCGATCGGAAGCGGGTTGAAGGCCAAGGTATTTATATATTTTGAGATATTATGCGAAAAGTGCTTACAGTAACTTGGTGGGACAGAGTTTAATAATGTTTATTGTAAGGCGGTAGCGTATTTTATCATGGCAATTTATAGTTATGTAAATGTATTGATAGAAAGTAATCAAAAATCGAAGTTGCGACCTGCACCCCCCCCTTTTTTTTTTTTTTTTTTTTTTTTTTTTTGGCAGAGAGAAAGAAACTCATTAAACTGAATAAATTGTGGTAGAAAAAAAATAAAAGTGATATGCTTTAAGTAGAGGTCCTGTCCAAACAAGAATTGGCCATCTTAGTTATTATTGATTGATTTTTCAAATCTCTTTTTTTTTCAAACATTGACCTGGTAAAAGTGTAAAAAGAAAGAAAAAAACACAAAGAATGCATTTATTACAGAAATTATCATAAATCCCCACAATTAATATGCAATAATTCCAACAATTTCCCAAAATATTTTATATATTTTTTCTTCAATATAAAGTGGGTAAAAAAAATAGAATTAAGTTACAAATTATAACCCCCCCCCCCCTTCCAAAATGAATAAGCAATAATTCCAACAAATTCCCAAAAATATGTATATTTATTCCTCAACATAAAATACAATTGTAATATAATTATTGCAAACTGTGAACATTATATTTAAGTAGTTAAAAGAGTTATCTTAAGAGTTTCTACACAGAATCCATTTTTTAAGTGTTGAGAAATTGCACATCAGTTTTAATTTGGTAGTCAGTGTTATACACTTGTACATGTACATGCCAAATTACATTTTTAAAACGAAGAAATTTTGCAATTGGATATTATATATCAAATGGCGATATTTCTAATTTTATCAGATATAACATAAGTAATTTTTTTTTCTCATTTTTCATGTTTACCTGGAAGTTAAAAACACATGATGTAGTCCCAAAATTTTAATCTTCTGTTCAAATTTTGAAATATTTGGGTAGGTCGGTTTCGAAAACCGATTAGAAAAAAGTGGCCAAAAATTAATTCAATCTAAAATGTTGGAAAATGCACCATTTGGAGCAACTATCTAAGAAAATTTCTCTGGGAGGCCCCCCAAACCCACACCTATTGGAGAGGGTGTCCCCCTCAAATGCCCCCTAGTCCTACGGGCCTAACCCCCCACTCCCAATGAACTTATGGATCCGCCACTGAGAAAAAGAGCGTTTTATGTAATGTAGCATATTTTCAGTATATATTTTTAATACCCACAGGCACTTGACGTTACTTATTTTTCTTTTAATAAGAAAATAATCCCTCTTCCTAATGATTAGTAGGTACGGGGTATATTTTAAGTAACGTCAAGTGCCTGTGATAATTCCCTATATTATATTTTCAACGTAATACCTTAATTTTCTATTGTGGCCCCACCCGACCCCCGGGTTCATATGCAAGATTTGAACAATATAGAATCTACACAAAACATGAGAATATATAACAATTAAAGGGAGTTAACAAGTATTTTCACTTTTTTCCGAAACTTGAACGTAAGAGTTATCTTTCTTGCATTGTCTTTTAATTTCTTTTCGTCACAATGTATAACAGGTCGAGGAAACTATTTTCTGTGACGTCAGAATAAATTTACATGTTAAAAGAGGAACCAACGTGACTGACTAATCGACCAATCAGCTCAATGAGTTGCATTATGGGTTACTACAAAAATACTACATGTGTGTTTCGAAAAGCCATTTTTTATAAATCGCTCTCGGAAAGACTTGATGCATTTTTCCAAGCATTTTACACGCTTAATATAATATGTACATTATTATCTACTAATCCCATGCTCACATTTACATACAAATGATTACCAATGATAAAAATTAGGGTTTTCCTCACTCCATTGTACAAGTCCGTTTGTTTACAGCTTTCCCCGTGATGTACTTTCAGTGAAAAGTCAATTTCACGTGGCTATTCATCGGTACAAAAAAAAACCAACTCTAAGGTGTGCTCACGTATTGACAATGTTTACAACGTAAACAACTTCGAAACATACATTATGCTACTCAACTGCTTAATACACGTTCTATGATCAATGCACATGAGAATTAATATAGAGGTAAATTGTAAAAAACGTGCAACTTAAGCCCTTTTTGTAAATGCATGAACTTTAAATTTCTTGTTACAAATAACTGAGCAACAATTAACTAATTCAACCAGTTACATGGCAAATTTACAATTATCAAGTACTGGAGTCCTTAATTTTTACATGTGGAGCCTTTGTACGCGGTATTTCAAAGTACTATTTAACAAGGAAAACTGACTTTGTTTGTTAATGTGAGCATGAGAAATCTTGATTAGTACCTATTCTTCGTATTTTTCTCAAACACGTATAAAAAAAATTGTAAATTGACTTTCCAGCAGTCATTTGAAATCGCATCCTAAATATCCCTTAACCCACGTATTTGTAATAAAAATAAACGTGTAGTAGACCATCATGCTTTTCGGCTCATTCACTGGATTGGACCATTGTTTGCTGTGAGCACCTTTGTGCGCAATGACAACAATATCCATATAAGGTAGTTTCCTCGACCTGTATAAGGTTGAATAACTTTTCATGCCCCCTAAACGAAGTTTCCGGGGGTACGTTAGTTTTGTGGTGTCCATCCGTCTGTCTGTCTGTATAGCTGTCTCTCTGTCTGTCT